TGATTCTCCCACCACCTGTGATCACTGCTTTTCTGATGAACTGAATCGAGGTCAAGAGTACATAACAGTACTCTTGACCTTGATTCAGTTCACTAGAAAAACAGACAACCTTCCAGACGGTTTTGATCGTTCTTATTGATCTGCTAAATGAAGATTTTGAGTGTGCTACTCAATTGAAGCACTTCAATAAATTACCAAATAATTCACACGACTTTTTTGATGCTTTTTTCGTTGCTATCAACAGTGATTTGTGTGAAGCGATGGTGTTCGTTTCGTGGCATTGGCAATGTTGAATCGCCTGTCAAAAACTTTTATTATAAACACAATTCACCTCATTGTATCCAAAAATTGTTGAATATTAAAGGGGATCTGCAAAGTACACAATAAATTGAGAGAGGCCTAAAGCAGCGGTAGGCGTAATGAGGATTTTTTTTCAAGGAAAATCCACAGCACTGTTGCAGCCAATTTTGAAGGCAAAGTTGAAATTAGTGGATTAACGATAACGATTTACGAACTATTTTTTCTGAGAAACTGGTTAACGTTGTTGACGGTTTCACTTTAACGTTACAGAGACTTTTTTTAAGGGTTAACATTGAATGACACTGAATTTTTTCATTAGCACGTGCAACAATGCACTTCAGTTTGTTATGAAATTCCATCAAGAACGCACATTGCCACAATCGAAGGTTGCCTGGAAGAACAAACACATTTCTGTCACACAATGAATTTTTGCAGTTGAACAAGTTTTCGGGAAGTGATTGTGAATGAATTCGTGCTGTGATAATTGAGGCTGCGCAATGGCATTGATATAATGACTATCTACTTTCAGGAATGTGTACGATAGATTAGGAATTGCCGATAGGTGATAGTAGAAGTGTGAATGAGTATTGGATAAAGGAAAGATGAGTTGTGGATATGGGAAGCAGGGCGTGATATGCAAGTGAAACAGCAACAGTGTGAAGATACGTGTTGATGCGGTTGCTGGTTGCACAAACGCTGCTTGCTCATCACCTTCAAATCATCATCCTCATCCAAATCCAAGTCCAAATTGACGTTGTGCTGTGCTTACTCCATCCGCTCAAGCCAATATTATTACCTGTTTCATGGTTCTAATCCGTCAATGTGATTGCTTTTTATTGCATTGAACTTGTTCCGTTTATTCGATCTACAATTTCAAGTTACAATATCCAATCCAATAAACAATCCAAATTCACTTAATGTGTGGCAATCGTTCATTTTGATCATTTCATTTTCTCATTATTTGCATCTTCATGCGATTAATTTTCGTTTAATCGCTGCCAAAGTATCCGTTTAAAGCCCATTAGAATGCTAATTTCAAAGTCTGCAAGTGAATCATTGATTTTGCTGCGTCATTTTCAGTTTACCTTTTAGGGTGTTGTTTTTTCAACGAAATGTGTATATAAAATGCATTTGCGTTATCTTTATGCACCGAATAGGTTTGGTTCGAGTTCAGCACGCGATAACCAGCAAAGGTGTGCTGTCCTGTCAGAGTGTGATATCCGAAAAAGAGAGAACAAAGTAAGGCTTATAGTAGCTATTCGTCAGTAGCTATTCCAGCAAAAAACAGTTCTCGCTTCATTCGCAGTTCTTTGTCCATCAACAAAACACAAAAATACTACTTCATTGATGCAACAGCGTTTCCTGTGAATTGCGACCGTGAAATCTAAAGAAATATCAAATATGCTGTTGTTACGACGAGATGCTTGCAAATAAATTGCTGTTCATGTAAGCGATTTTCTGGAAATCGATTGGATGCGATGAATAGTCTCAACAACGAACTGATAAAAAACTGACGGTAAATTTGTTAATGATCGTAGTAATGTTTGTGTGTGCCAGATAATAGTACAACTCAAAATTATATGTTGTGTATTGGTAGTTGTGAACGAATGAAGAGTTAGTTGGTGTGGATGGTTGGAAGGAATGAGCAGAACGGATAATCGGTAAGCAATGATTTTACACTCATTAGAACATTATTGATCATTGAAACAAAATGAAATATCTTTCGGTAAAGGAACCTAAATCAAACTTATGGTTGCTTAAAGCACTAGCAATAGTCATTTGAGGTGTTTTAATTGCATATTCTCAAATAATCGTAAAACGTTAGTTCTGAATTAGTTATTGCTGCAATGATGCTCATTTATTTATTCATTCATTTGCGAATCAATCTTGATTTCAGTGCATTAAAATGTCATCATGTATGCACGCACATTTATCTGTTTATCGGTATGAAATTCCACTGACGTTTGGCATTGATGCAGTGCAATTAAATATAGTATGCGTTTGTCTTATAGTCCGTGTGAGATTATTCATTACCAGATATTAGCTTCGTTTTCGCGAATTCGAATCGCAAAACTGCGAATTACCGATCCAGTTTTGTTGCTCTTTTATGCACTTGCACACGTTTCTGTGCTCAGCAATAAACGCTATTCAACATCCTTCTCAACATTTGTATTTGTTCATTTTGAGATGAAATCTGAAGTGGGCAAAAAGGTTGCCACCATAATAAGATTTTCGCATATGAAGTTACTTCATTAGCACAGCAGCAAAATCTGCCTTCGGGCTATTGCTCACATACCCGTACGCATTCATTCATCTGTCTGAATTTTGCGATGTTTCACTGCGAACAATGATTCAGCTTTCTGTGCGTTCAGAAGTTGAACTCGAACGTATTTAGCGAAAGTTGGTGAAATACAGCTTTGAGTGTTAAATTTAAGCAATAGTTATGCATTCGTTTATAACAGCTCAGCTTCAACTCCGACTACACTCTATCTATCATCTGTCAATCATTTCAATTGTTCCGTAAACATACAAATATTCATCTCATTTGATGCTCCTATTGAACTATTCATTTAATTAGCTCGTTTCAGTTATTTATTCATACTATTCGGGGAAACCGTTCCAAAGGAATGCGCATTCTGACGATATCATTTCAACGCATCAATGAACAGCTTATTGATCAGAAATAATAGTTAGTGCAAATGACTATTCATCTTTCATAGAACAACTAACAGTGGATTTCTTTTCATTATTAACTCTCAAGAAAGAAAATTACTTATATTGGAATGAGAAACTCTTTACGATGAAATTTGCTGGTGTTGAAATTGTATTCATAAGCTGATGAAATACCAGTAATTATTCCTTCGACAATTATTCAAGTAAGTTCAAAAAATCGTTCCGTTATGCAGTGAGAAGAAAATCGATAGAGATTTCCTGTTGTGGTTCTTTTTGTGAATGTGCTATTCGTTTGTTAAATTCGTTGATGATCGCAATAAAAGATTTCTGAGAGTCGACTAAAGACGCAGCTATGTCCAGTTACTACAATTTGCCGTTTCATTTAACTTCTCTCCGATTAAAGAATATTGAATTTGGACGACTTCTTCTTTGGTGATTTTTTCCATTTCCAACTTACTTTGAGCCAATCCTCCTCGCTGTTGTAAGAGAGCAATGAAATTGTTTTGATAGTGTTCAATCTGAGGATATGTACAATATTACGTATAAATATTTCTTTCGCGCTATAAATTTATCTGCATTTTTACAGCTAGTGATACACGATTTTCTGGCATCATTCAACTGCTCATTTCCATTCAATTTTGATAAATTTTCACTAACCTTATCGACCGCTCAATGCGATCTGGTTTCCGTCTGTTCTTCTGAGGGTTCTTTTTAATTCAACGATACACGCGTCACATCAGTTCTTTCTGCTGTTCACAACTTCCCCAAAATATCAATAAAACCTTCGAAAACTTCTAATTCCATTGTTCCTGAGCCTACAATGAAGTTAGGATTTTTGCAAGTGTCCATAATTATACAGTTCTAAGCGTGCTTATATCAGCTTAAGTAGATGCATCCATTAAGTAGATGAAACAAGTAAACAAATGAGCTGAACGGATGAAATTTGGTTTCTTTTCATAAGAAATAATTTTCAAAAACATTGTTCTAAAATATTTCATCTTGAAGCTGTCATTGCAGACTTATCAGAGCAAGTTCTTCTTCAAGAACGTAAGGTTAAAAGAGTGACTAATGAGAAGAAGCAGGCATTTAATCTAAAATTTCAGCGTTATTGCCTCAAGAAATTATTATACTCCTTTTATCGAAATGAAATTTTGTGTCTTATTTCATCATTCCACTTTCAGTTAAATGACTCTCTAAACTGCAGCCAAGGTGATCTGAATAATTCTAATTGATCCAGATATCTACTTATCTCACTTATATAAGAGGCAGTTCTGTAGCATCATCTTCATCGTTATTCCCATTCAATTTCCGAATGGATCGCTAGTTTCCAGCAACATTCGACCTCCATCGGTTTATGATATTAGTGAGCAATTCAATTCATTTTGCTAAAATATTATTTGCACGCGATCAGTGTTCTCTTATACATCGTTTTTTGCCGTTTTTATTGCTGCTTCACGTGTAGCTTGTATTACGGTTGCATTTTATGAATCACTGATACGAAAGGACATATGTACATTACGACCAGACAAAAGTCTCAAAGTGTGTAGGAAGGCAATTTCCCATTAATCATTATTCGCAGTTTCAGTTGTTATTTCACTCAGATGTTGTTTTCATCACATTCGAACACCTATGCATGCGAAGTTCATGTCAATTAGTTGAGCTGCTTCTGCTTTCTCCTTACGGGCAATGTTCTGGATTCAATATTAATGTTCTTTCGTTTTGCTTTCCTTGTATTAGTGCATTGAAATTAAGTCGTACTCATCCGTCAAAGTTTTTTNTTTTTTTTCGATCAGAAATCGCTTCGTTGTTAATTGGACGAGTCGAATCATTTGTCCGTTGAATTTTACTGTTTGTTCGCTTTGTGTTAAATGATTTCTGATGAATTGATTCTGATGTGATGATCATTTTCAATCCGTGATGGTTCAGGTATTCCGCTCTGAATAACAATTTCGTGAGTATCATAAAACGGGAACGTGGACGTGAAGAGGTGAGGTGAGCATGAATGGAGCGTGACCGTCGAGTGAGCAATGACGGCACGTCTCAGTCTTCTCATGATCTACTTTGCGATTCCTGGTGCCATTGCACTACCTCCACGGCTTTGTCCAGCATCGTGCTATTGCGAGACTGTTGATAAGGTCCACTTTTAACTGATACTATGGAAACAATCTGTTCAACAATACAAAACTATTTGTGTATGCACTTTCTGTGAAGATGACATTATCACTGCGAATTTTCCGAACTTTTTTGCTGTATGGCAAAAGTTCTTTAAAAATTGACTGGTTCGTGTGCAACAATACGTATGAATAATGAATCAGATTGATATTTGCGATATATTCAAAGAGTTATCCGCCCTCAGAATGTTCTTTCACAAAAGACGTTTCACCAGAAGTGAAGCAATGAATTGATAAGTCAGTCGCGTTACGTCTGTTAACGTGATTTTTTCAATAGCAGCTGGAAGTGACAGCAGTAGTAGTCATCGCACAGCTGTATCATAAGACGCAACATATCAAGTATCCTTGCTCTCATCCGACTGATGTATATCTTTCGCATTGATACACTGCTGAAATCTCAGAGCAATTCGTCAAATCGTCCAATTAAATCATTTATCACAATTAAGCCGTCTCAACCCTCTTCAAAGAACTCATTCGCTCGTTACTCAACATCGCATTATACTTGAACAATACTTGAGCATTCATATTGACGTAGATTCCATTACTCATTTATCGAATGTTTTGATTCGAAATGCAANAAAAAAAAAGCCATCAAATGTTGATAATTGATGCAAAGAGTACCCAAATATAGAACGCCCGTAACCATAAGTGATTCATTGTGCGAGTATATGAAAGCTTTTCAGCACGCAATGAACGTTCACAGCTTGCTCACTAACTCATGATGACAACTTTCATTTGGCTAAAAAAAGCAAAATTTAGCGAATGAGAGTCACTTTACTTCAAAAATGGCATAAATTTTTTAAAGTGTGAAATCGGATGAAAATTATGAAGAGTGATCAAATGTTTATCGATAATACATGTTAATACCATTTGTAATGAATAATGAATTACAGATAAGTTGTGAACACGCAGATTTCGATAGTGTCCCTACGAATTGGCCAGTAACCGTCCGTATTTTGATCTTCAAAGACTGCTCTATCACCCACATTCAGAAGCATGCTTTCAGAAGGTTTCTCTTCTCGTTGCATTTCGAAAGTTAACGTCATTCTATAAAAACCTCTGTAACAACTGTTAGGCTGATAGCAGTTGAACGAACAGTGATCTGAATTGCTAGATAGTCGTTCACATTCTCAAGCAATTCATTCTCCGTGAGTGAAAGTCATAGATATCAGTATGTCAATTATCGGCGCCAAACTATCCAGAAAATACTTTTTCCAAATGATTTTCAGATATGCGAACTTGGAAGAGTTGATAATTGAAAACTGTGATCGTTTAAATTCTCTGCAAAAATTCGCCTTCAAGGGTCTCAATCATCTCAGGTGAACATCGCACACTCAGCAGCACATTCATCAGTCTATACAAAACTTAATAAATCACTATAATAGATTTTTAACACGTCATCCATAATTTTTCTTTTTTCCATTCAGTCGCAATTTGTTTTAAAGGCACTCACATCATCATCATCGTCATCATTCTCTACCTGAGCACTTTTTTCAAGATAGGTGCTCGTTTGAAAGAATGCATTCGTGATGCTGCAAATTTGCTCACTTTAGCATAATTTCATCTACAGCTCTCTATCTAGAAACATCAGTATAACTGTATACTGAAGCATCGCTTCTATTCTGCTCGTGTACAAGCATTTCCCTTCTACACTAGCAAACATTTCCTCTCTAGAATGGCAAAGCAATGTGATAGTTTGTTTTGAAGGTTACTCCGATTATCGAACAATTCAAATCTGAAGGATATTGCTAAGAGCGCTTTCTCGTTGATTTCAAACACTCATGGACTACGAATCCAGTTAGATGATAACGCATTCACAGTGATTCGACCTGGCTTCTTCAGGTTTCGCGTTTTAGTTTATTCATGTGTTCACTTATGATTATTAAATCAGTAAATTGAGGCATTTCGTAATTTCTGTTCAAATTCTGGAGGTGTGGAAAATTTTAAAGTTACTGACTTTATTCAAGGTGCTGGAATGAAATCGCCGAACACTCACTTTCGAAACTTAGCTGTCAGCTAAATTCATTCAAATATTAAACCTGAAATAAAGCTTAGCAAACGATGTTTGCTTGTTGATGACTTCATTGAGCACGCATTCGACTGCTTATCCACAAATATCAATAAGCGATCTCGTCTAATTAAATGCATATTGTTTCTTGGAATCGCACACTTTCGAATATCACCATGAAAAACTTAACGATCCTTCAGAAGCATGAAGCTTTAAATAATCAGCGAATCCTTTCTTTACAATTCCAATGCACTCTTCGCAACATCAATTGTAAATTCACAGAGTTCTCCAAACAGTCTTCTCTTAACAAACCAAAAACCAATTAGTTATGTCCATCAGTGAGTAAATGCAGTCCAATTCAGACAGTCGAATCATCTTCGAGAACTATCGATTAAAGGCAATAACTTGCATATCCAAGCGAATGCGTTTGCGGGTCTAACTCGTATCGATTTTTTCAATTTGATAGGTGTTTCGTCTATTCAACCACTGGCTTTCGAAAATGTTTCTCGTATTCACAGGTTAGGGATCATTTAATTTATTTGCGATCGAAAGTACAAACTGTGATTAATTTATCACGCCAACAATTTTGAGGTTTCACTGTTTATCTGAATCGCTCGATCAAGTGTATTTCAGGTTCGAAATAAGCGGCTCAAATCTGTCTTTGACTAAAGGCTTTTTATCATCGATGTCACATGTCAGAGAGGTGATAACCGTTTCTCTCAATTTTACACAACCAAATCTTCACGATATTGAAATTCGAAATTTTTTCTTTCAACTTTGTGTTTGAATCTGTTTCAATTTCCAAACCAGTTCTTTACTTCTAAACACTAACTTCTCATGACATTCACTGTCAACTGGAACCCAGTTCGTTGATCGTTTCAAAAGCCTGTCTTAGGAAACGAAGGCAAATTCACAACGATCTCGTTAATTTTTTATACCTCATTAGATTTCACTGAGGGCTATTGAAAGCAGATTACATTGCATTTTGTAATGATCGGAAACAATTGAGAACTTTCTTAATGCAATAAATGGGTGGCTGGTTCATCATATTTTCCACTCAGAAAAGCTGATCTGACCGAATAAGAAAATGTCTCTCGGTCATATAAATGAGAATCAATGTGAGCAATAGTGGTGTAAACTGCAAAATGATCTTTTTTTNTTTTTTTGGTAGAATACCACGAATATGCAGCTGTTCTCATCAAGATTATTTTCTTTAAAATCGCATTTTGATTGATAAGCAATTTTTGATAATTGACACTATCAATATTTTCATGTATTTTCAATAGTTCGTAATTCGTCTTTCGTATCAACATTTTAAATGCTCGCCTTTCAATAAATACGTGCATTTGATCATTGTGATGAGCAACGTTGCAGTGAGCACTCACTTAAACTTTTAAAGTTTACAAGGTCAAAATTGCCTTTCTTGAAAGGAACAAGTGCAGTTTTAGAACCCATTCTTGAGCTGATTCCCATGTGTAAAACACTCACACATTCGCTTTATAGACGTTAATCTTTAAAAATCGTTGGTTTTAGATTCATATAAGTTCAAATCAGATCGAGTTCATCGAAACAGCTGCCTTCGATGGTATCTTCACGATTGGACGTCTTCAACTCAGTGCAAATTCCATACAAAATATATCTGCGCACGCATTTTCGTCGATTGTAAATATTGGTGAATTGATTATCGAAGATAATTTTATCGCACACATCAACGCAGAATCATTGTTAAGTTCAGCTTGGAGAACCAAATTCCGTGATAATACTCTTCGCTGTGGCTGCGAAATCGCTTGGATAAAACATTCAAGGGTTCGATTAGTTCACTTCTAACTTGTATAATTTAACCAATGCTGGTTCACCGACAACGTTTTCGAAGATTTCTTACAGCAAATTTTCATCGTTCCGTTATCAATTATTTTATAAACGATCACTCTAGATAACAGGAAGTGATAATTAGGTTTCGGTATTGAACATACAATATTGAGAGGCTTTTGAAAGATCTTGAGCTTCGAAAGTGAAATGAAAAATGTTTCAGGATGTGATTTTATTGAAGCGTAATTTCTGTGGTCCAGAGGAGAACTATATTTCCTTGATGAACTATGAAGCTAGATGTGTGCCGATCCATCAGAATGCATTATCGCGTTTTAACGCATTCTCTAATTCATCTTTGTTGTACCTTTTGTTATTATTCCTTTACATGATTGTATTATTGTGAATGAATCTCTCGGAATATATGTTTGTATGATATAACGTTGATCATTTCAAATGACTCTCTGCGATACCATCTTTGATTCTTCGAAAATAAGATTGAATTCATTCTCAATACCACTTCGAAAGACGATCACGCTCTGCGTTCGCTTCTGCTTAGAAAATTTCCTCATGAATTTTATTTTCATTTATGATGTTCTCCCGCTCGGAAAATTAATTCGCGTTGATTGGAATAAAGCGCGTCGCTTGACGGCTTCAAAAAATCGATCTATTCAGTTCCGATACTAGACAGGATTTCAATGAAACATCTGTGAATACTTCTCTTTCAAACCTCTAAAGCCGAAAAAAATTTCTGTGGTTGTTAGTGTTCCATTTCGTTGCACATCACCATTACATGATTTTACCATTTCGTTGCATTCAACGGAACTGCAGACAGCAGCGGTGTGTTTGCAGTTTCACACTACGTTCAATTCAGCACCAGTTTCATCACTCCAGAGGATGTGATTTTCAGACACATCGAACGTCATTTCCGTTGTTCCTTGGTCTCTTTCATTCTCATGTTCTTGGAATGTAATTAGTCTGATTGAGCCATTCTTCATTTTGTTAGTGATCTCACTGTGAGCGGTAACTAGTCTTCATTCCAATCATCAACTATCCAGTGAGAGATGTGTAACAATTCGGAAAAGTCCAGAGAAAAAATTCTTATGCTTGACAATCGGTAGAATGACCATCGATAAATCTAATGCAATAAACCGGAAATTCGCTCAGAATAAATAAAGAAATAAATAATTCCCACATACGCAGAAACGCGAATGTACCCCAACATGTTCCTATTCTTGATATTGCAGGGAATCATTTACGCTGTGATTTGGTTGTGTTTTTGTTATATCCTCTGTTCGTTATCATATAAGACCTATGTGTGACTCTAATAAAACATTTACGACGTGCATGCTACTATCATCACCCATCTCATCAATATTGCTCACAATCGGTTGCGAGTAGCTGTTTTTATTTCATATGATATGCCCGTTTTTGACTCTGATCAAAGACGCTGTTTCAACTTATTTTAGGATAACCACCAATCGCACGTGAATAGTGGCCAAACTAATTTTGCTGATATCTGTGGGAAGAGGATATCAGCTTGAATACGTCGCAGTGTTGTGCTGTGTGGTTGCAAAGAATCTTTGTGATCTCAATGATGTCACGAATAATTTAGAAGTGAATAATGCATGAGACCAATGGCACAAACGGACATTCCAAATGTCTCCCGAATACTAGTCTCCGAATTGAATTTGAGACCAATATCCGTTGTTTTACACACCCAGCTCACAAAAAAGAGAAATACTTCATTGCCTGAAACTACTCGCTTTGCAGTGCACAGCACTGGTGCATTACCAGGTAGTCATAATATGTGAGTGTTAAGATTTCGACTTTTCAGAACTATTGAAGCCATCTTGATCTGAGGCGTCCGTTAGGTGCAGTTAATTTTATTGACTTTACTTGGTTACACATCAGTTGAGCATTACAAAATTAATTTATTGGCTCGTCATTACTTAACGAATTTCGTAATAAGTGCACGACCATCCCGGTGATAGCGGGACGATGCTTCATCATCGGGCATTCTGAATATTGAACTTCGAAATCCACACATATAAAATGCCAGTTCCCTGTAATTCTAATGATATTGACATTACAATCTAACACATCAAAATGCCATAAGCGCAACATGTTCATTCTTACGAATGTTTTATAATTGGAATTACTCTGACGGCCCCGTAGGAGTTGATTGTTTATGATTATAAGCTCGTTGGTTGAATACTTGAGATGATTGCACAACAGTTAATGGCATTTCCCCTCATTTGAATGAATTTAGAAGCATGCGAATAATTGCGATAACACAACCTACCGATACTTCTTACTGCAAATTGTATAAATAATGAACGATAATGAAGCGTTGAAAATTGTCAAGAAATTCGTAACAGCGATCAATGTAAAAAACTGCATTCCCAAAATTGAAGATACGGAAGCGAGAAATTGTACGGCAGTCTGAAAGTTAACAACATACTTGCAGTGTGCACCACTGAATGTTTAGCAAAACGATAAGCCCCATTTGACTCTGTTCACAGATACGTTAGATTTTTGCATAACCATGATCAAAGGCATACGAACGCATGCAGTTTAATCATGAAGTTCGGTCGCTATGCAAAGGTTGTAATTTGTTATGTATGATGCCTGAATGAGATCACATCGAAAAAATGCGTGCAATTACATTCAAGAAGTGCAGTTCACTTATCACATGTTTGTTACAGAGCGATTAATCCCATCCAGTCATGCCTAGTTTTTGCTTCGTTTTCAAGCCAGTTTCTTTCTATTACACTTCGAGTAATTTATATCAGAACAAATCATCAGATAATAAATTTTAAGCACTTGATTAATGACCCAACTGATGACCTTTACAGTCCGGTTAATGGCTCAACGGAACTGAGTGACATTAGCAATGGCTGATTTAGACATTACGCTCGACTGATCAGCAATGTTTTATTCATACGCTGATTATTTATGAATTCATTTATGACTTTAGAAAGACCTTTATTTCATTAATCCGAGTGCAATAAATTGAAATTGAGAATTGCTGAAAATACCGTCCTCACCGATGGAAATTCGAACACCAAATGACATGCGGTAGTGGCAGTGGCAAGATGCAAGACGCATTCGGTACGGCTTGTCCTTTTGGCCGCAACCACAGATGTGGTTCGACGTTGAAATGCATTCCACGCCATCACAAAACAGCATATCACCAAAATTAGTAACGGTATTATATTAACGAGAGCTGCTTGAACGTAATAGAATATTCGATCGGTTGATGCTAAAAGTCATCAAAAACATCTCAAACCATATATATATAAACGAAGCTGAAACCGCAATGCTTTTCGCAAGCGGCAGAGAACACCTTCGCGCATTTTACACTTTATGTCACAGTACGCTCACCTTAACCATACGAATAAGCAGGTACAACCACCGTCTCTTGTCGAATTTTCGTGACGTGACGAACTATCAGAAAATGAACGATGCTTGAGATAAGGCTTTAATTGAAGTGGATAAAGTAAGAAACTGACGTTTGCTAAGACTGAGATAATGATGTACAACGATTGTGTTGTCGGCATCGCAAATAATTTGCTTGACGTGACGATGAGTGAGAAGAATTAAATTCAGCAGTGTAGAAAAAAGGAAAACACTCGCAATGATCCATCGAGCCATCTTCATTGATAAAGAGTTCTTGGCTCTTAATGGCCACACGATTAGTGCCAGTAATTGACAAGTGACACAAACCGTTAGCCTGAAATTCAATTCATATTGTTTAGCATTGTGATGTTCTAAAAACTAATTTGCCTCCTTCACATTTATAGTTCGATTAGTTTAGTGATCTCAATACTATTGATGCTTTCTTGGCTGTCATTATATCGATCGTCACCAGTTCAGTTCCAGCAAGCACCTGAACTGTAATCATCACCAACTTCAGAATAAGAGCCCAGTAAACGAATAGATCTTGCAAAATCGCATTGTTGCTGCGTATGAACTCATAACTAACTCAAAATTTTGCAGTGGCTGTAAAGATTACACTCTCATGAGACTATTCTGTTTGATTATAATAATATGACATATTGATGATAGATGATAACTTCAGTTGAACGATGTACGTCTTGAACGGAAGAGAATTGCTGGCATTTTGTGGCAAACATTCGTGGCACAAGAAAAAGAACTGAGCACATCCGCACTCCGTCTATATAAATAAATCTCTTGTCTCTCAAAATTACCTTATTTTAGCTTCAGAATGACGTGACATATTTAAGGGTTACAGAATCCCGACGATTTGTGATGATCATTCGGGGAACAGTTTATTCGATAAATCGTCAAAGTAACAACATTTTAAAATCTGGGAATTAATTTTTTTCTGACAAGATCTTGAGGTTTCAGTGAATAACTCCAACGGATCAGTGTTCAGTTGCTTATACTTGAGATGGAAGGAAACCAAATATATTCCTTAACAAATTTTCTTTTGAAATTCGCAAATGCTTCAAAATGATTAAAATTGTCACGATCATCAACATTATAACAAAAAAACGGAATTAAGGTTGATATACTAACAAAGGATCCAAAAAATACAATTAGGTGACAGTTAAAATAAGTTCTGAAAAACGTTAGAGCATCGATTCTTAAATCACTCGTTCACGTTCTCTGTTTTGTACAGAAAAAAATGTAGAGAAACTTTTTGCGTTTGACAGTGAGAACGTTTGAATTGATCTGAACAATTTTTCCACATTCTTTCCTCCGTTGCTTCATACAAATTCAATTCAGAGAAAACGGAATTTTTCAATACCATGGAGAAAGTCATTCAAGTGACTTTATTTTTTTAATTGATAAGTATTCATCCAGATTCACGCTGAACTTCGCACCCTTCTTTAGAGAATCCTTTGCATCTTGTATAATGATTCATTTTGCTGTCTACAATAATCCGTTAACGAGCCCTTGAGATACGTGGATAACGGGGTGGCGGAGTTTTGTTGCATCGAAAAACAGTATGAAGAACATCACTTGCTCTATGAGCTTTCAAACTCAAACTATCAACGGAGCAAACCTTGGCGATCGTTTTATTCAGCGGATTCGTAGTTGATGCGANTTGCAGAATATTATGTGCTTCAATTTCAAATACTTTCATGTCCTTTCATGGGTGATCTTTTATTTTCTTAACATCACATTTCGCAGTCTCACCGTCTTGTTTGAAAAGAAAGTATTCCCAGCAGCGAGAATGATTGTCACTTTTGTCGTATTTTTTATCATATTCGGAGGAAATCGCACTGCTTAAAGACATATTTTAAGCGCAAATGCGAAACTGATGGGCCGTGGAAGACAAAGCAACGGTTATGGACAAATACGAAGCGAGAGTGACATATTGAGAAATATCTAAAATATTATGCGTGACAAAACATATTTAAAAATGCGTTATGA